ACCACGGTTGACTGCATGGGAGTCCAGCAACATAGCTGTTATGCCAACTGCTGTTCCCGGGAGAGAAAATTTATTTGGTTTAGTTATACTTTGCATTTTCAGTGACATAATTTTTTTTTTTTTTTGGAGAGGTATTTGCTATAGGGCGCATCAGCTCGACAGACAGACAGACAGACAGACAGAGACAGAGAGACAGAAAGTGAGAAATCACCCCCCGGGGGGGATGGCCACACCATAATCCCTTCTCCTCCGTTCTCCTCTCAGGATCCTGGGCATGCACGCACACGTGCCTGGCGTGAGTTCTAAGCCACCGGGTCCAGGACGCGAACCGCACTCAACTATGTGGGAGTCCAGTGACATAGCCATTATGCTAACTACTGGTCCCAGTGACATAATTTTTCACTAAAGACTTTTATCTGACCAGGCCATCCAGGTGGTGTGGTGATTAAGGTGACTGGATCCCACATAGCTGAATGTGTGGTTTTCGTCTGCTTGTTTATTTTTATTTATTTATTTATTGTTGTTGTTGTTATAGGGTATGTGCACTCGCCAGAGAGAGACAGAAGAAAATGAGAAATCGCCCCCAAAGGGGATGGCCCTGTGGCATTCTTTCCTCCTCCATTCTCCTTTTGGGACTTGGGGCACACATACACACACACCCAGCGTGATCTTTAAGCCATTGGATCTGGGACTCAGGCTGCAATTGGCCATGTAGGAGTCTAGCCACGTGCTGGCCCCTGCACATAGCTTTTCACTTCCCTAAACTTAACTTCTATTAATTGGAAACTTACAATAAATTGCCAGTTAATACATATTTTGTTATGTGTACTATATACTATATTCTTATGAAAGAGTAAGCTAGAGATAAAAAAATTTAAAAAATTATAAGGAAGAGAAAATACATTTATAATAATATATAGCATTTGCGATATTATAAATTTATGTCATTTGTTTATGGGTGAATTGTTCATTGGTATGTATACCAATATTGTCTTATATGATACAAAACACTGAAGTTTTTATATGTGTATATATTACTAACATTAGACATTAACTATGAAAAAATGTTAAGAAATTCATTATTGGGACCAGCACATGGCATAATGGTTATGTTGCTAATTCCCACGTAGTCCAATACCCAGTGGCTTAAAACTCATGCTGGGTATGTGTGCGTGAGTGCCGAAAATCCCAAAAGGAGAATGGAGGAGAAGGAATTTTGGTGTGGCCATCTTTCCTTAGGGGAGTGATTTCTCACTTTTGTCTCTCTTGTCTCTTTCTGGCATGTGCCCTATAACAAAAATCTCTCTCTCACAAAAAAAAAAAAAAAAGAAAGAAAGAAAAGAAATTCATTGTTTTTCATATTGTTACAAATCTCAAAAAAATTTTCTGACGTGCTGAGAAAAGTTTACATGTAGGTGGACCTGTGCAGTTCAAACTCATATGGTTTAAGATTTAACTGTAGTTCCAAACTGATCTCTTTTTGAGGTATTACTAACTTGGTGGTAAGAAATCCATTATAACCAGTTTACCAGTATTGATAATTTTATGTCAGCTAAAGTGAAGAATATTTTATCTGCTAAATGGCTATGTTGTTTAAGCTACGAGTTTCATACTCAATTTTCATGCCAATTTCTTTAGATTTATGAATAAGTTAGTTATTATATAATCCTAAATTCAAACATACTGGTTGATTTCTAGCTTATATTTTAATATAAAGAAGAAATTGTATTTTTTAAAAAACCTATCTATTCATCTTCATTTCTTCTATTTTTATTGTACTTCTATTTTTATTTTACTAAACTTTAGGTAAAGATTGGTCTAAATTTTAGGTAGTATTTTGTTGTGTATAAAACTAATGTAAGGAATGACATCCACTCAGAGCCCATGCTATTAAAATTATGTGAGGCCCAGCTGTAATCACGCAAGATGGTTGACAGTGCCATTTGGCAGATTGAGGCCACATGTAAAGCCCAGGTTTGATTCCTGGCCCACCCTAAAAAGCAGAGTGTAGTCGCTTACATCTATAGTCCAGCTACTTGGGAGACTGAAGCTAGGGGGTCATGACATAGCAAAACCCTGTCTAAAAAAGAAAAATTATTTGACAAAATGAGTCCTTTCTATGACTGTTAATTAAATTTTTCTTTGGATAAGACTTAGCATGGCTTCTTTCATACTGAATTTTGCATTTTTATAAATATATATTTAGTTTTGACACAGAGCATATCATCACTTGCTGGCTTTTTTTTTTCCATTTTCTGAAATTAGATAATTTAAAACTAGTTGCTAAATGGTTTTGCAGTTATTCAAGCTCTAATGAAATAAGTAAGAAATAATTTGAAGCAAAAGTATTCCACATTAGAAATTTTAAATAGCCTGTAGGACAGATGTTAAGACCTATTTGTAATCTATTCTAATCTAGTTCAGTTTGGTAGTTTAATTGTTCTTTGCTTTGGAATAGATAGTGACTACTAAAGTCTCTCTTCTCTTCACTTCAAAATACACACATGACCCAGCTGTGATGGTGCAGGTGGGAGAATGCCTTTGTACCATATTGGAGCCATATGAGAGGCCTGGGTTTGATCCAGGTTGACTTGAACATCCCTTGATCCTGGCTAACTAGGAAACTGGGTGAAGATTGTAGCATGGCAATACCCTGGTGACTGTGTATGTGTGCATGTACACATATGTCTATGTATCTCTCTCTTTCTCATATGAAGGAAATAAACTTACACAAAATGAAACGGTAACAGGTATAGGAGGACTTTAACATCTTGGAAAAATTAATTTCTCATACTATTTGCAGAAATCAATTCCAGATGGATTATAGGTTTAATGTATGAGTTAAAACTGTAAGACTATTAGAAGAATACACAGAATATCTTTCTGCCAGCAGGTGGTGTGGTGGTTAAGGTGTTGGATTCTGACGTGGCCAACCATGGTTTCAGTCCTTGACTTGGTGATTTCAAGCTTATGTCAGATTTGTGTGTGCATGCCCTGAATCCTAGGAAGAGAATGGAGGAAAAGAGATTGTGGCATGACCATCTTGGGGAGTGATTTCTCTTCCCCTCTCACTGTCTTTCTCTGTTGCTCTCTGCACATGCCCCATGGCAAAAACCTAAAACAAAACAAAACAACAATAACAAAACAGGAAATAGAATATCTTTCTGAATGTGAGGTAGGCAAAAGAGAGTATAAAGCATTAACTTAGAATGAATGAGTAAATGAACAACGTTAAAATGCAAAACTATTTTTTAAATCAAAACACTGTTTTAGGAGAGTGAAAGGTGAATCACAGAGTAAGATGAAATATTTAATATATATATCCTTGCTTCTATTATATATAAAGATTCTATACACCAATGAGGAAACAATAGTAACTACATAGGAAAATGAGCAAAAGACTTAAAATGGCATTCAAAATAGGATATATAAATAGGCAGAGATATGAATAGATAGAAAATTTGATAATCAATGACATTAAAATTTGATCTGTAATGAGATACTAATAGAATGTCTTAGAGTTTCAATTACAGAATTCCTATATGGTTCTTTTTTTTTTTTTTGAGAGATTTTTCACTGTAGGGCGCGTGCGCTCGCCAGACAGACATAGACATAGAGACAGAAAGCGAGAAATCACCCCCCAGGGGGGATGGTCACGCCGCAATCCCTTCTCCTCCATTCTCCTCTCGGGATCTTGGGCACGCACGCACACGCGCCCAGCGTGAGTTTTAAGCCACCGGGTCCGGGACGCGAACCGCGGTCGACTACGTGGGAGTCCAGCGACATAGCGATTACGCTAACTGCTGGTTCCCCCTATATGGTTCTTTTTTATAGTTTCTTTTTCTCTCTGAGATTTTTTTGTTACTCATTTGGAACATGTTTTCTCTTTTGTGTTTTAGCATAGTTATAATAGTTACTTTGAAATTCTTTTTTTTTTTTTGGAGAGGTTTTCACTATAGGGTGCGTGTGCTTGCCAGACAGACAGAGAAAGACATAGAGACAGAAAGTGAGAAATCACCCCCCGGGAGGATGGTCACGCCGCAATCCCTTCTCCATTCTCCTCTTGGGATCTTGGGCACGCATGCACACGCGCCCGGCGTGAGTTTTAAGCCACCGGATCCAGGACACGAACTGCGGTTGACTACGTGGGAATCCAGCGACATAGCCATTACGCTAACTGCTGGTTTCCAATTACTTTGAAATTCTTATGTGCTATTTTAAGTATCTTCAGTTATCTTGGCGTCAGTCATCATTAGTTGCCCTTTTTCTTGATTACATATGTATTTTCTTCACTTAGCTGTTTGTTCATGTCTAGTACTTTTGGAGTCTATCATAGCTATTATGAGTGATACATTGCAGAAACTCTGGATTCTGTTATATTCTTCTGAAGAGACTTTGTTTTTTATTTTTTTTCAATCAAGCAGTTGACTGATTTCAAATTCCAAATTTTGTCCCTCTTTGTGGTGGACAATTAGTTCTTTTAAGCTGGGATGTTTGGAAGACTGGATGCATACTCCATAACTGTAATTCAGGATCAACTACAGATTTGGATAGAGTCGATAATATAGGTGCTTCTCTGACTCTCTTCTTTCTGTGATTTCCCTGTAAACATTCCAGATGCTGTGTTTACTCCATAACCTCCTCTCTGGTTCTTTGAACCAGAAGGACTGTAGGTTTTCAATATTTTTGTTCCTTTTTATGGCATTAGCTGGAATCTTCTTTTTGCTTAAGCCTATTTAAAATACAAAACGAGAAACTTGCATAGTACTTTTTCCTTCTTCAAAGTGTATCACACCCTGCTTCCTCTATTTTTGCTTGCTTCTGATCTATGCTACCCTCAGATAGCTGGCTTTATTTGTTTGTTTTTTGTTCAGAGTTTATAGTTAGATGTGGGATGGTTAGTTTGATAAGAGCTGCTCGACCATTACTGAATCAGAATCTAAGGTTTACATTTAAATGAAGATATCTTGCTCTAATACTTTACCTTCTTTGTACCTTAGGTATCCTCTTAGTGGCATGGTTTTACCAACTTTTAAAGATTGGATCCAAAATACCCTTGGAGTAAGTCTGGAGCATAAAACTACCTCTAAAGTAAGCAGATAAGAATGATTATTAACATACTGTATTTTTTTAATACCAAATTAATTAGACTTATCTTTGTAATTTGTTACAAATAAATATTTGTTATGTTTGCCTTAATGCAGTTGACAATTTTCTTTTTCTTTTTTCTTTTTTGGCTATTGTTGTTATTAAACCTATTAGTTATATTTTCTAGGGGCAGTTTTTTAGTGTCACAGACAAGATTCTTATCTCAGAATTTATCTGAGATTTATCTGGCAGACTTTTTTTTTTTTTTTAATTTGCAGTAGTGTATGTGTGCTTGCAAGAGAGAGATGGGGAATGGGGAGTGAGAAAACACTCCCCAGAGTAAATGGCCATGCTGCAGCCCTCCTCCTCTATCTCCTCTTGGGATTTTAGGTATACATGCACCTATGTCCAGCATGTTTCTCATGCTGCTGTATATGGGACTTGAACTGCAGTGGTTCGCCATGTGAGATCCAACCACCCTAACTGTTGTGACACAGGCTGACCCAACTCTGTCTTTTAATAAGACAGAATTTTGCTATGTTGTAGTCTTTCTGCCTCAGCTGGGACTGTAGGTGCATGCCACTGTGCCTGACTTTTAGATCAGATCAGGAATTGAACCAGGCTCTCCCATATGATCCCAACCTGTGGAGCAGTGTCTTAGCAATGCATGCCACTGTGGCTGGGCCTCTGGCCAACTTTATATCCTTTCTAAGCATTTGTTTTCTTATTTGAGAAGTGGAAGTAATAACTGTCCTGCTTATCATAGGGTAGTAGTAAAGTACAAATTAATTGAGAATACTTTGGTATAAATTAAAAGGTATAAATTGGTGTTATTTTTAGATTATTTAATAGATTGGCAATAACCTAGTTTAATATAGAGTAATTTAAAATAAAAATATAATACTATATTTAAGCTAGAACATTTAGAATATTTGAAAAATTACCAAAAAAGTAAAAATTCAATTAAGCTACAAGTGATAGAGAATTTTAGTTTGTTTATATAGTTTCACAGTTTTGGAAGTGGGATTAGAAAACCGTAAACTGTATACATGATGAAACTAATGACGTATTTAGCATTTGTTTATATTATTATTACTTTATTATTTGGTTACAGCATGACATTCTACATGTTCCTCTTAACTGGATGTAAGTTCTATAAGTACAGGAGCTATATCTTACAGTGTGTTTTCCACTGTATTTGTTATTATGTTTATATATTTAGTGAAAACTTGTTCGCTTTGTTTATAAATCCATATATTTTTTCCCCTGGTATTTAAATTAGGCAAAAAAATAATTCCTGCACTTCCCAAACCAAATTCTTTAAAAAAAATTTTTTTTTTTTGAGAGGTTTTTGCTATAGGGCACGTGCGCTCTCCAGAGAGACAGAAAGTGATAAATCACCCCCGGGGGGATAGCCACCCCACAGTCCCTTCTCCTCCATTCTCCTCTTGGGATCTTGGGCACACCTACACACGCACTCAACATAAGTTTAAACCACCAGGTCAGGGAATCGAACCGCGGTTGACTATATGGGAGTCCAGCCACGTAGCCATTATGCCAACTGCTGGTACCGGTTGTTGTTTTTAATTGCCAGATTGTGCATGTACTTGCCAAGAAGAGAGACCTAGAGAGAGAGAAAAAAAAAAAGCACCCTCAGTTGGGCATGGTCGTGCTGCAGTCCTTTTACCTTTCATTTCTCCATCTTGTCAGGATTTGGGAACATAAGCCTGGTGTGCTTTGTGAGTCACCGTGGCTGGGATTTGAACCATGGTTGACCATGTAGGATCCATTTCCCAGTGCACAGCACCTAACCTCTGTGCTGTGGAGCTGGCCCACTTTTCTTAAAGGTTTTTTTTTTAATCTCTTCCGTTCTTTATCTCTCTTAAATATTTATAATTACTTTTTTTTTTTTTTTTTTTGAGAGGTTTTTGCTATAGGTTGTGTGCGCTCACCAGACAGAGACAGACAGAGAGACAGAAAGCGAGAAATCACCCGCCGGGGGGGATGGCCACGCCACAATCCATTCTCCTCTTGGGGTCTTGGGCACGCACGCATATGCACCTGGCGTGAGTTTTAAGCCACCGGGTCCAGGACTTGAACCGCGGTCGATTACATGGGAGTCCAGCGACATAGTCATTACACTAACTGCTAGTCCCTGTAATTACTTGTTTTTAGTGTTGATAATTCACGTACCGTATTGGAAACTTTACCAGTTGGAGAAAAAGAGGAAAACATCCTCCAACAGGGCCTAGTCACACCACAATCCTTTATTCTCCAGTTCTTCATTTTACGCACATGTGCACATATGCCTGCCTATTGTGAAACTGACAAAACCAAGATTCTCTCCATGTGGGAGCCAGCTGTAGATGCTCTGGTTTAACCACTGCACCATAGGACTGACCCTCACATTTTATTAACTTAAAACTAGGAATCAATACATTGTATTGAGGTTCTTTTGATCCTTTCCTTAAACCATAGGATAACTTCTAAGAGATTAAGATTTTTTTTTCCTGTTTAACTTACTTTTGTATCCCCAGGGCCTAGAACAGTGCTTTACTCATAGCAGGCACTCAGTAAATATTTATTATATGAATTAATGCAGTACCTTAATAAGAGACTAAGAAAATATAGAAGTATCATATTTTTCTTTACGTATTTTTATATTTCATTTTTTCTGAATATTGCATCGTTGGGTGAGTCATGATGCACTTTGCATAGAAAATCAGAAAAACACATTGTGACCTTCCTGATGACATCATAATTAATCGTGTCTTTTTTTTTTAAAGCAAATTTGATTTAGTTAGCCATTTATAGACCTTTTCCTTTATGCTAGGCGTTCTTTTAGGTGTTTTTTTTTTCCACAAAAGTTATGATGTTTAACCTGTTTTCCTTGTACATTTGGTAATAATTTCATTTAATAGATGAAGAGGCCAATGCTCACAGAAGCAGTGTAATATGCCCATTGTCACAGTTTTAAAGTAAAAAAATAGATTTTAAGTTACTAGTTGAAATCACATACCAAGTTTATAATTATGTCATGATTTTTACAGGAGCTCTATAAAAATGAGTTTATTACTTACTGTGAGGCTTTCTGTTCATTATTTTAAAATGGTAATTGGAGAATAGTAAATGCTGTATTTTATGTACAGATGAAAATATTGATAATGCCAAAATCAAATAGCTTTCTCTAAATCTTCTTAATCAAAAGTGAAAGATTTGAGACTTTGCTATCTTCCTTGTTCTTGATTGCAATCTTTTTTTTTTTTTTTTTTTAAAGTTTTTGCCATAGGGTGTGTGCACTTGCTGAAGAAAGACAGAAAGTGACAGTGAGAGAGAAAGTGAAAAGTTACTTTCCACCCCCCAGAGGAGATGGCCATACCACATTTCATTCTCTTCCTGGGATTTTGGGTATGCACCTGGCAGAATTTTCAAGCTGCCAGATCCAGGACATGAACCCTTTCAGCCATGTGGGAGTCCAGCACCTTCGCCAACACACCACCTGTTGGATTTTCATTTGCAATCTTTAGAAATAACAAAAAGCTAACCCACAAAAGCAAAGGACCCCTGTAACTTATATCATAGAATGTGATTAACCAAAGATTTGTAATTTGTCTTTGTCACAAAGTTGATTTCTGTATGTATGTATTGGTATTTTCCTATGTTTCTGCCTTACTTTATTTAAAAAAAAAAAAACCCTACTTTTTGTAGTTGTTACCCCAAATAGTGGAATGCAAATTTTATTTTTAGGCAGTAAGTCACAGAAACCAATTTTATTTTCTAGGCATCCTTAAATCCTAGCGATACACCTCCCTCTATTGTAAATGAAGATTTTCTTCATGACCTTAAAGAAACTAATATTTCATATTCACAAGAAACAGATGATCGAGTATTTAGAGCTCATGGTAAGCTACTATAAATTAGCACTGTTCACTTTTAACTTAAAAATTTTCCCATAACTTCAGATGTTCATGCATTTTTCTTTTTTAAACGTGAAACAGGTCATTGTCTTCATGAGATATTTTTGCTCAGGGAAGGAATGTTTCAACGAATTCCTGATATAGTTTTATGGCCAAGTAAGTTTTTCTCTACTTTGTATTGTTAATTCAGTGTTGTCAAATCTTGGGTAAATTCAATGTTGGAAATATGTATATTTTATCATATGAGTTGTAAAAAAGCATAAAAGCATTTTTAGAAGAGTTTACTAAAGGTCATGGAGCCTTTTCTTGATTTGATTGTCCTGCTGTTTTTAGTTTGTCTTTAATTTTATACCTATTTATTTATGTATCTATTTATTTGTTGTTGATTTTCAAACTGCTGGGTCTAGAACTCGAACCACAGTCAGCCATGTGGAAATCCAGCCCTTTAACCACTATGCCATGGTGGGATCCTTTGGCCATGTGGGATCCCTTTGTCTAAACCTCCATGCTGCCTGATGGCCCTGAGTTTGTTTGTTTTTTTTTTTTTTTTTTTCAACTGTCTTTTTAATAAATTCTGTGTTCCTTGAT